TTCGAAATTGAAGGACGCTAATTTACTCAAAATTGATACACCTCGGCTTACCATCTAGCGGAAGGTTTCGGAAGGGTGAAAAAACATATATTTAATACTTGCGCCGGGTATTTAATGTTCGGCTCCGCCCGAACTTAGACTTTCTTACTTGTTTATTAATAAGGCCATTAAACTTTAACTTATTTGGTTTATGTTATGCAACAGACTACACGAAATTTCAGTTTATCTTAAGTGATGGATAAAATTGAATGATAGTAATCCGTATAAGCAAAGAATATTGGGTTGCCAATGGAAGAAAAAAATTTAAAAAGTGTGTTTTTTAAAAAGCATTCGATACTACGAGTACTTTGCAAAGTATCGAGTAAAATCGCCAAATAAGATATCGAGTGTTAAAGTACTCATTTTTATACCCTTAGTATCGCTGCTTACTCAATATCGATAGTATCGTTCCAACCCTACAAATAACAGCAAGCATCTATACACACTCAGCTACAGCCGCTATATAAATTTATCTTTAAATGTTCAACTTGAGTCAATTTTCTTCGCCGTTTAATTTGGTTCTGTACTTCATAGATGCTCTTTCGTAATAAAGAAAAACCAAAAAATAGAAAAAAATAATTATGCTTTTTATTTATTATGTTATGACGAATTGGTTTTCAAATGTTCAATTTGAATCACATTTCTTTCAATCGGTAAACTGACCATGAAAAAACCAAATAATAACTCGGTTGAAAAAACCATTGTACTTTTGGCTCAGTGTATAGATTGAAGTCGGGTTTGTTTTTTGCTTAAAAATTACTTGTTGCTAATTGAATTTTCAGGTGAAATTATTTTTTATTTATTTAGAGATAGGGCTCATTTGAAAGCAACATTGTAAGATATTCAGCGTGCCGTTGACCCATAGCTAAAATTTATATTCTTTCTAACTCAAACAGGCTCAGGAAAATGAAAATGAATTTTTTTTTTATTTAATGCGCTAATCTACTAAATAAAACAACTAAATAAACAAATAAACAAATAAAAAATAAAAAATATTTAGAAAAAAAAACGCGAGAATTATATTTTTTCAAAAAGGAAAGGGGCCAAAAGAAGCAAAATAAGAAGCTAATAGAATAAGCAGATTTTCTGATTAAATAGTAAAAATCTATTAGAATTACTTCAAGTATTTGTCTAGTACTATTATAATCCTTCAAAATGCACTCCCGAATAGTGCTATACGATTATTCCTTAAAGAGTTACGGCCACTAAAACTGCCGTGTCCTCGAATCTAACATCGCCGAACCAAGCATATGCTCTCTAACTCATTACGTCATCTTCCAATGGCCATCATTTCTGAAGGAAAAATCGTAAAACCCCACTCGAAGGCGCATTTTGAAGGGTAAGAATAGTATTAAAGGGCATAGAGCAAGCAAAAGTGGACATTAAAGCCATTTTTCGTGTACTTAACCGCGAAAAACCACAATATCTTGGTGTAGTTGTAAGCTCGAGCTCGAGTTCTTAGCTGAAAATTACTTCTGAATCGACCTACAGTTGCATAGCAACAGATACTTTCAAACCTGTCTTCATAATTATCATGTTCTTCATTTCTTTGGATTACATGTCAAATCGCAAGTCTTCTGGATTGAAAACAGACTGCAAGCCTTTTGAAAACCTAATTCAAATCTACACGTATGTATATCGCACAGGTAACGTAAGAGTCTTTTACTGTGACGTAACAGTCTTTCTGAATTGACCTCAAAATTAGTTTTATTAGTTCAATAAATACGCAATTCCTGAGTTATATAAGGAGATTGGACTTTTTCGATAATGTAAGGCAGCTTTAAAAAATACTTCCAAAACTTGTAATGTAACAGTCCGCTGTTGAAACATTTGTAACTCCTAAACAATAGGAGGAACAATATATTTTAATTATATATCAAATATTGACACATACTCATGCTTTCAGATGCAAGAAGAAAAACTATCCGAAAGTTACATTCAAGCAAGTTTCAGCAGTATTTGAAAAGTACTAAAAATAAAAATATATTTAAAATAAACAACTAAAGATTTTAACAATAAAAAAAAATTAATGAAAAACCGGTTGATAGAGAATGTTCTAAGTCCACATTAAAAGAACAAAATCATTAAGAGAAAATGTGGTAAGTCCCAAAAGATCCTATAAGTCTGCAACAGTTTTATTTTGAAATTGGCCGATTAATGATACTGAAACAAGACGAAATAAGGAAGAAAACTGCATGTACAGATTAGGAAAATATTAACAACAAAAAGTTAGAAAGTTTTTTGGCCCTCCTGAAAAATTAAAAAAAGAGGTTTGCACACTAAGCCAAACGGGTTGAATTTTTACGTGACGACTGTTACGATTTGAGCCCTGAATTTATACTGTTCGATAGCGTTTTGTTGCTAAGTATTGTATTTTCGTTGTAGTTTATTTTAGTGAAATGTTCATTGATAAAATTTTTCGATAGCCAATTATTTGCTTAATGCAAAAAAGTTGAAAGCATTAAATAATTATTTATAAGAACTAAAACATTATGGTATTATCTGATAAAAAAAAAAACAAATACATACAAATGTAAAGCAAATAATAAAAAAAGATGTTTTCTATGGATTTCGAATACAAGTGCTGGTGTTTCATTTAGATAAAGAACTTTTCTGCGAACGAGTACGGTTATAACTGAACTAATTATTTGCAACATTTTGTTATGAAACAAAATGGTTTTGTAAGCTAATGTTTTTCCCTTTCACGTAAAAATGTTGCCATTGGCGTTTATTTGGGTATAGCACGCGCTGGCGCTCGTTGGCAAAAGAAAACGCAACGCTTGGCGCTCCAATTTAAGGTTGAATTAGTCGATTATAGGTACCATAACAATAAGCAGCTGATTTTTCGTAGTCAACAAAGTCGGTGTTGCCAGACGCGGAACAAGCCACGGAAAATGCGTAATATCGTAGAACATCTTTCACTAAATTAACACTTAATTCTTAAAACTCAGCAGCAGATCATAATAAAATATGTACATCAAATTAAATATAATTACTTGTACTTTCTTAATAATATAAATTGCTTTGGCATTAATTATGAAAGTTTGTTAAAAAAGGTTGTTTTATGAAAATATACGAAATTTCCTTTCATTTTTTAGTATTTTTGGATCAAAAATATAATAAAGCATATAAATTGTGCACATTAACAGAGAGATAAATTACTTGTCTTTATTTTGGCATCATTAGGTTTTAAATCGGTTATGTAGTTCATAAGATGTTAATATTAAAAACAAATAAAAAAAATTAATTTAACCTTTTATATCTCTTTTATAATTTTTCACAAATAACTTTGGTACAGTTGAAATCAGCGTGAATAGTTCTATCGAACCACACTTTTGGTTTTTGTATAAGCAGCTAAATGGTTCATATTCTACACTAATGCCAAAACGTTGGCTGTGAACAATATTTTTTTTTTTGAACTTCTGGCAACACGTTTTCACTCGCACTTCAGATATCAGTTGATTCCAAAATTCAATTGGTTTCTATGGCTATGGTTATGGCTATGGCGTTATGGTGTGACACCATTAATCGAATACAGTGTTGGCCATAAGGTTGGTTGGAATAGTTGTTTTATATGGTTGCCACAACTAATTTAAGCTTTAGGGACGGCACACAGTGTGGTTCTGAAAGCTAATGTTGTATGCATGATGTCGAAATCGTCGATAATGATGTTTAACCGGCAAGTAGTGATAACCAGACATTGAACAACCGGCTCTCAACGTCTTGTTAACACTAAGGACCAGTTACTCAAAGCCTGGTTGGCACTAATGATTGTTTAACATCGTTACTGACACCGTGTTATATACATGGAGTCGAAAACGTCTATAACGATGTTAACTGATGATTAGTGTCAACCAGGCTTTGAGCAACCGGCCCTAAATGCAGATTAAACATCGTTATCGACGTGATCGACTAAAAACTATATAAGGCCGTGCAGGGAGTCGATAACGCCGATAACGATTTTTAACCTGTAATTAGTGTTAACCAGATATTGAGAAACTGTCCCTTAGGGTAGTTTTTTCGACTGCCTGTTACATTAACTTCCCAGTTAACATCGTTATCGACGTTATAGACTGCTTGCTATTTGCTTTTAACAGGCAGCCGAGATAAAGGCCCTTAAACTTTAAATTTCCAATTACGAGATCAATTTCATTAGTATTGGCAACGCCGTAGGTTATAATTTTGACAGCACGAAAGGTTCAGAACTGTAGAATTAACTATAGCGCAATAAAAGGGTGAAGTAATAAAACAGATTTCTCGCTTTATTTTCTGATATCCGCTACCTTATAGTTAAATTTTAAAGGCAATAAGGCAGTGCCACAATCTCACTCTAATTACTTCACCTGGTATAATTCCACCATGAGAGTTAACAATGAGTTTTTCTTCGTAAGAGAGGATGAGCAAACAAAAAAAATGTTCGGAGCTAGAACAATGATTTTTGCATTAAGAATTTGTAAGCACATACATATACATACTTATGCATTTAAAAGTCAAAAATTGAATTGCACTCAAAATTTATTTTTTGCTTTTTTACTTAAAAATAACAATAATCTAAAAATCAAGCACAAAATCATTTTTAAAATGATCAGCACATACTTAAAACATACAGATAAGGGCACCAACTCAATTCGAACAGAATCAAATTGTAATTATTTTTGCTTTGATTTTGATTTTGATAATTTTGCAGCATTAAAATCTAGTAGTTTTCTGTGGTTCTGACATAGTTGACACCGGACGGCATTGAAACCTTGTCGAAGCCTTTTGGGAATAGTCTATCTGCCTCCTCGTCGGTCACATCGGGTAGAATCATAACTTTCGTACCAGGCTGTATTGAGAAATAGATACAGGTATATAAATTATAAATCACCAAATAAACTCGTATACAAAAACAAAACTCACCGTCCAGTTAGCGGGTGTGGCCACCACCTTCAGCTTGTCTGTCAATTGCAATGAGTCGAGACAACGCAAAATCTCACTAGAATATTAAAAACTTTAAATGAGACACGCGCGTTGCAATATTTATAGCTTCCCGCTAACTTACTCAACATTACGGCCCATGGACATGGGATAGAACATCGACAAACGCACTTTATGATCGGGGCTGATGATGTAGAGTGCGCGTATGGTTTTGCCAATTTCTACATCTCGCTTCTGCTCCTCATCCAACATGCCAAAGAGTACAGCCAAATCACGATGAGGATCAGCAATGATGGGGTACGGGAATTCACCGGGAATATCCAGGCAATAGGACTTGATGTCATTTACCCAGTCAACATGTGACTTCAGGTCATCCACTGAATGCGCCAAACACTTGGCATTACGCTTAGCAAACTCCGGCTGATGGACAGCGATGCGACCCAGTTCAGTGGTACAGACGGGTGTGAAGTCCGATGGATGCGAGAATAGTACAACCCAACTATAGAAAGAAGAAATGCAATTGGTGGTTTAAGTAAGTAAACCAATTTTAAATGGAAGAGTTAATTCTTACATATCGTCGTCTCAGAAAACGGATGTCGAATGTTACAAAACACGGTTTTGAGAAAATTGACTTTGAAGTTTAAGGTCGAATTAATCCGAAACTGTACGGTAGATTTTTGTAACTCTTGAAGGAGACGTAGTTGGTGTTATTAGTTTTGATTTCCCATATTTTTAAATTTAATATCTCTTAACGTTAATGAGAAAATTTACTTTTCATTCCGTATACATTTGTCGTAAGTAGCGTTTACTCACCACTTTGTTTTGTCCACAGAACATACGACAATAGTAAAGTATCTATTTCAACGACGATGGTATAATTTGATGAAAAAAACAGACATATTTATTAAATAATGATTACTTATTAGAAAAAACATAACAAAAACATAATCATGTATTTAATAAAAAAAATCTGTACATCTCTTATGCTGTAAATATGTTACGAACATACGTTTTCTTTATATAAAAACAAAAAACAATACTTAAATTCAGTCTTTTGTACATTTTTATCTCTTTCATTTCATTGGAGACTCAGTGCAAGCTAAAATTTAAAAATTTAAAATTTTAAAATTAGTTACTTAGTTTAATTTTCAATTTTAATTGTATCGTTATAGTAGCGGACCATCCAATTGTCGTAAGTTCAAAGTTTTGCGATACATACGACAAATGTTTTATGATTAAAAAAGGATTACATTTGTATGGGAATTTGTCGTATGTGCCACATACGACAAACGTTTTATGATTAAAAAAAAGGTACGTTTGTATGGGAATTTGTCGTATGTGACGCATTTTCAGCACATACAACAAAAGGCATACCCAATCATTAATATTATGTAACATACGACAAAATGCGCACGAAATATCTCAAAAACTAATGGAGATATAAAAAAATGGATTGCAGAAATCGAAAGAGCATGTCCAACTTAGTAAATCTGCATCAAAATCCCAAAATCGTGATTTTGCACATTCGTCATCCGTTTTCTGACCGCGACGATATGTACATATGTACATATATATTTTTTATTTATTTGTAGCAGTGAAAAATTATATCAATGGTTATGGTCAAAAGCGCATTAATAAAAAGCATCCAAAGTAATTTTTTTTATAATCCTCCTTGCCATGCCTGCAGTGTGATTGTAAGCTTCATCAAAGCTTATTAAATTTTCCGTACCACTTAAATTACTTGCCATTCACACTTATCTGCGTCACATCCATGCAGATATATATATACCCCACTCAACCAGTATAAGGATGGCTCTTATGAGGCATTTTTAGAATAACTCGGATATCAAAGTCAAAAAAATTACAAAAAAATTAGGAATGCGCTGGATACACATACTCGCTCGCAAACAAAATTTTTTAGCCAAGGTTTAAATTTACGTCTTTTATATGCAATCTTTTATTAAATTTATAACAGAAATATGCATGATAGAGACAGTTAATCAATAATGATAATCAAAAGCAGATATATTGAAGGATTAAAATTTCAAAGCATATTTCTTATATCCACCAAAAAGGATAAATGTAAACTGAAAATATTTTTATATATTTCGCACATATTTTGTTTATAGTTTATACCGATATGCATACTATACTTTTTTAGGATTATTATAATTTTCCAAATATCAATCCTATTGAGGCCGCGGGGCACATTTTATTCAAAGCATTTCTTTATAAGGAGTAACACATTAAATAAATCAAGCTCGAAGAATCAGAGCCACCCTAATATTTATACATACATATGTACATATGTGAGTCTGTACTTGCAGATATTAATGATGACAGCTTAAAATACAAACTATCGCGGATAATCTTCTTCAATCATTAAACCAACAAAGATAACTTACGAATTCCCCTGCCAATCGTAAAAGCTAATTGGACCCTTAGTGGTCTCTGCTTTGAAATTCGGTACTGTTGCCCCCAAACGCATTTTTTAGGTAATTTTTTTATTAAGTAACTTCACAACTGACGATTTGAACACGACTGAATTTATTCACCAACTGATCTCAAAAGCGAGCAGGTTGCCCGCTTTATACACAATGTTAACAGTTTCTCAGTCTCTTGGCGAAAGGCAAAATCAAACAGAATCTCGTAGTTGTTTTTCCTACTACTCGGCTTAGAGTTAAATTTGATAACAGGTTATGCGTCATAATAACTTATGACAGCGGAAGGGGGTGTGCTTTGCGAAGCATGTGTGGCAAGATTCTACTTATCAGCTGTTGAGGGTGTTGCCTTCACGGTGAGATTCTGATAAACGGCTTTTATTCTCTCTCAATTACTACATATGTAAATTGGGGTGGTCCAAAAGTACATGTGAAACAGTAAAGCCAGAATTTTTATGTTCTCCCCTAGGATTGTTATATATATATAATATACCTCTATTTTTTATTTTGAAAATAAAGATTAAGAGGTCGCCCATAGCGCTCAAAGTTTTCCAAGTGCTTTATACGGAAAAAAACAACTTTTCGTAGAAATGGTGCAGCATTATTGAAAATCAGTATTTCTCGATCGGAAAACTCTGTTTCTCTTCTGGAGAAATAATAATAAACAAAAAATAGAGGTATATGTTTTCGATATAGAACAATCCTAGGGGATGAGAACATTAAAATTCCGACTTAACTTATTTTGGACCACCCTAATGTGCATACATACATATTTGTTTATATATAGTCGTAATGACATACAGTGCTGTACAGATAAAAGTCACCACCCAAACATCTGACTTTCATCGATGATAATCTGTGTTCTCACTAATACTCACATATCGAAATTATCGCGTAATTTAGCGAGTCTATTAATCGTTGTAGTCAAGCTGTTTATGTTGCTGTTTGGGTGGGGTCTGACCCAAGAATGATTTTTGCACCCCTATCGGTGCAATCTTTGTATTCTATCATTCTTGGGTCTGACCAGAGTGGAAGGGGTCGTTAGCTGGGTACGCTTAAGGGTACGAGTCAAGAGGTGGTTGGTGTCATATTTATTACGTTAGTCTTTGGATACACTGAAGCTCGATGTGTACGATGGATGATGGTCCAACTGCGATGACAACATTCATGGGACGAGAATTGGTAAAGGCCAGTAAATGCCATTTATAGCTTGTCTGTGTTACGCCCACTTCCCATATAACGGTAACTTTCAGAAATACGAAAACGCCGATATTTCAATAACTAAAGACGCCAATTATTTTCAAATTACAACAATCTCTTAACAAGGAATAATATTATAGATTTTTGGAAAACGGATGCACAGTGTAACGCGCGTGGCCAAAAAACAATAAAAATTAAAGTGGTAAGTTTAGTAATATTTTGTTGAGTACCGATCATAAATACTCTAATTAAAAGGGGGTTGGAAGGATTTTCACAATAGAAATTTTGACAAAAAAATAAATAAAAAAAGCTCGCATATGCCCGCTGTTTAACTATTCCCATTTATGATAGTATGTGTTATCAACTAAAGCAATCTCTAGTGGCTTATATGCGCTAACCTTTATTTTCCAAAAAATTTCTTTTTTTTATTGTTTGAGGTTTGGTACTCGGAAGCCAAAGAAAATAAGTTGAGTGCGCTTAGAAAAACGATAAAAACACCCCTTATCTAAACTCTAAGCTGGTAATAGAGACATTATGCACATAGTACTTCCTATTATCTATTTTCAGCGTATCCCCGCGTATTATCAAAAATTCTTTTTGGGTTGGGGTAGTTGGACATTTTGCTATGAATCTGTACTTTTGGCCGCTGTAGCCCCATTGTGCCACAGCGGCACAGATATTCAATGCTTAGTTGAAAAGAAATTGATAAAAATAAAAATAAGGATTTAAAAATTTAAAACTATACAGTACTTTTGTTAAGGGAACACCAGGCAATGAAAATCGGGCATAATTAATGCATGCTAATAAGCGTTTGTAATTTTATTATGAAAAAATGCATACAGGCAATCAAACTTTTGTTCTAGCAGCACAAATAACCTTAAACCAAATTTATACATTTCAATTTTTCGTAGAAATCACTGCAACCACACTGTAGTATGTATGCCTATACATACTGACACCTGTTTAAGCGTTCAAAAATAAAAACAAAACAAAAATAAATTAGTCGATTTTACGGAATGGCATTCCAACTGTTTAAATTTTCCACAGAATAGCTCAATGAAAGCTCAGCTTAACTTCTAGTTTTGATAATATTTATACATACAAAGCATATAATATATATACATATAAATTTACATATACATACTTGAAAAGTAATATTTGACGTTTTTTTTTTTAATTTTTATTCAGTATCAATGTCCAGTTTGTATGTACATTAGAGTGTTCCAAAATAATAAAGTCGGAATTTTAATGCCGCCACCCCCTAGGATTGTTCTGAACCGGAAATAAATATACCAGTATTTTTTATTTTGAAATCAAAAAATATTTAGGGAGTGCTCACAGCGCTCAAAGTTTTCCATGTATTTTATATGGGGAAAAAACAAATTTTCGTAAAAATGGCATAAAACTCTTGAAAATCAATATTTTTCAATCGCAAAACTGTGGTTCTCTTCAGGGGATATCCAATTGTTTATTTAACCATTTTTTATGATAAAATATTTTTTAATTGGGGCCCCCATTGCATTTTCAAGGACCCATAAAATATAGTCACCATGAAAAAATTGTTAAAGGAACAATTAGGTATTATTACCGGGAATCTCCTGAAGCAAAGTTTTCCGATCGAAAAATATTGATTTTCAAGAATTCTACACTATTTCTACGAAAAGTTGTTTTTTCCCCATATAAAATACATTGAAAACTTTGAGCGCTTTGAGCACACCCTAATTTTTTTTTTTATTTCAAAATAAAAAAATAGGGGAATAGTTTTTTTTGGTATAGAACAATCCCAGGGGCCGGCGGCATTAAAAATGCGACCTTATTTTTTTACATACATTTTTGGACCACTTTAATGTACATATGTACACTCGTAATTTGGTTTAGATCCAATCATTAAATCATGAAAAAATTAACGGTTAAAGATGCACTCAACTTTCAAAAGTAATACAAAATTTTACAAAAGAATTTTAATATAAATAAATTAAATAATTTCAAGAAATTTTTACACTTTTTTATTAATTTTCGTCGATTTCTGGTTTCTCATTTTTTAATAATTCGAATAACGAAAATTTAACTGAACTNAAAAAAGAAAAATTCTTACAAAATGACGCACAAGAAATGGAAAAGAAAATTTTTTCTTTCAAAATTTCTTATATCATGATAAATTTAGCCCCAAAACCCACCCCTTGTGTGCGCTACTTGACAAATTTGATATGTAAAAGTAAACAGACATTGTTTAATTTTGCACACACTAGGAGAGGAAACTGGTTACCTCTCTTTATATGCGTAAATTTAAACGAAAATTTTTTAGAGTGTGTATATTTATGTTTATGTTTATTTAGTATCTGTTTGAAACTGATAACAACAGTTTGCGTCTCAAATGAATTTCACCACAAACTTGGTTGTTGCTGGCTGGTCTGTTTATAGTTGCGGCGCTTAGCTAGATGGTACAGCTTAGAAGTCAATCGATATACACAAATACATAATTTTATATAATATGCTATGTACGTACATACATAGCTACTAAGGTGATAGGGCCAGATTTTTCAAATCGCATTTGAACGGCGCAGTTTCAATCTAAATTTTTCGAATACCGAGTAAACCAGTTTTTATACCTTTCATGAGCATGAAATGGTCCGATGTTGTAAGAACCAGAATAAGAAGAGATCAACCCATGGAAATGTATACTTAAATTATCAGAACGTCGAGCTCAGTCCTCCTGTTTGTATGCAATCTTGTCTCTCAGTTTTCGAAATATCCGGATGAAATTTGGTAGGTGGGTGTATTTGTATCTCCTATAGCGCTGATTGTTCAGATATATGTTTTTGCGATATAACTCCTTTATGTAGCCAGCTAATGTAATGTTTAAGCGTTCAAAAATAAAAACAAAATAAAAATAAATTAGTTGATTTTACGGAACGGCATTCTAACCGTTTACGTTTTCCACACAATAGCTCAATGATAGCTCAACTTAACTTCTAGTTTTGATAATATTTATACACACAAAGCATATAAACATATCTATATACATATATAGAATAATATCCGTTTTCGTTGTTGGGAGTTAACTCTAAAACTACGGCATAATTTTCAGAGGTTATACCTTGCATATATGGTCCTATTATAGGCTACCAGAAAACTCGGTGGGTGGCGCTGGGGTCGAGTTATTTATAAAAATCGTATTTATGAACCTATTTTGTTAATACACATACGAAACGTTTATTACTTTCATGAGTTCACTTTTCGCTTATGGTTTCCATGTACTTATTATGGGGGGAATCAAAATTTTCGCGTGAGCTTTTTTCGGGCGAAACTCAGAATAAGGAAGATTACATACATAAAATGATAGCCATTTCCGGTTTTCGGACTAAACTCAGAAGCCATTCAATAGAGCCCAGTCAATTTGTCGGAGGTCCTATTATAGGCTACTAGAAAACACGCTGGTGGCCCTGAAGTAGAGTTCTTATAAAAGTCGTATTTATTAACAGATTTCGTTCAAATTCGTAGCGTGACTATCTGTATTATGAAAAATTCCTTTGCTAAAAATGGACCCGCTGGAGTTTAGGTATTTAGAAAAACCGTATTTCTTATAAAAGCTGATTGGAATTCATAATTCGTATTCATTTCATGACAAGCAAAGGTTTTGCAGAAAAGGGACCCAATGGATGACGCTGCACCCGAAATATACAGAAACCCCCGGGGGGGTTGTTCTGCTTTGGCCCTATGTTAATCTGAGACGAATTTACTTTCCAGATGGCTAAGTCAAGGATGCGTTTAAGGATGCATATAAAGACCGCAAGACTGTGTAAGCGTGATCTTGCATCTACCTCCGATTGACGAAGTTGCTCGAGGCGACCGTTATTACAGCAGTAAGACTCAAAGAAACCAATTCATAAATTGTAAAAGTGGCAAATTGACAAGGAAAGATTCGACCAAATCTGTCCAAG